AATAATGTCTAATGAATAGCATATGATGCCTATATGAACACGTTGCAGGTAGGAAAACGTGAATTTATTTGCACAACAACAGAAAGAGCACTCGCTAAGGAAAGCACTCAAACATTTCGATTTGCCAAATCGACTGTTACTAAGCTGAAGCATCTCGATATCGTAGTACCTCATTAATATTTTCCATTAAAAGCCTATATTCTTGAGTTTCATAAATATGTAAACTTTTTGAATTGTTGAGCTCTAATTCCACCTAGAAACCTACCTATCCACACTAATTTAATTTATATTAAATCCAGAATCTTCCAGAGATATGTATTTAATGAAGATGAATGCACTTAAATAAATTAGTTTGAATGAATTTGTGATTTTACTAACGGTTTGCGCCAGTTTGATTTAGTACGAACTTATGTCAGACTAAGCCACCTTACTTAAAATTTCAAAATTCATACTCAAATGTAACTCACACTTATTGCTACGAACATTTATATGATAAACAATAAAAGAACATTGACATATTTCATTGAAAACTTGTGGTAACGTTTCGCCAAGCATTTAAGTTAACCCTTCTGAACACATATTCTAGTGAATTTTGTCAGACGTTTCGCTTTTAACAATGCTCAGTAGAGTTTTTGAAATTTATTTCTTTTTTTAAATGTATTGAATAAAGTCTACTTAAGCATAAATTGTAATTCCATGTCTTTAGAGCTTCGATTGCTTTCCCGTTGACCACCATAACAGGGATATAAATTTCGGCTTTTCCTACCTTCAATTTTAATTCGATTAGACGTTTCTTAAGAGACATCTTACAGATTCTCATGTGCTATTTGTGACGTTAAACCATATTGTGTTCCATTTACTTCAAAAGCTAGCACAAATCAAGTCGAGAACCAAGAAATTTATGAAAAATATGAGCCAAATGCAGTGTATTTGCTAAGATTTAATTGATTAAAAAAGGATGTGTGCTGTTGCAGTCATGCGATTGCTCTCTAAAGTGGGCCACTTTTTCATTCTATTTGAAATCAACAACTTTGTTTTTCAATTGAATTATCAACGGTGCAATTTACTTCTAAGTTCCCAAAAAAATTGAATAAGACCTCATCACTAACTATGTAGATAGATTCGATGAACTGTCACAAGAAGCGTCACTAATCGATTTGTCAATACCTGTGGGTGCATATTTTCGTTGAAGCTGTTACTTGTCTATTTCTTGACCAAAGATTTCTCAGTTATTCCTGTTCATAAACTCGTTCATTGTGCACAATTTCCGGTAATTAAGAACAGTATCGAAAATCATAAACAACCCAATCTCTCAAAATGCAATAGTTTTTCACATGAGTTAGTCATGTGTCTCAATTATAATATCATCTCATTAGTATTGTTATGGCAGTCGTCGACTTCGCCTATACTGTTGAAATAATCATAAATGTTGAAAACGTATTGGGGATATATCTGATGACCCACAATCTTGGCTGCAAATAGCTGATTGACTGGACAACGGAGTTCTTCAAGACAAGGTTCATTTTGTCTAACCAAAATAAAGATAATTCGGGCATGTATGCGGCAAGTGCTCACATTTTGAATGTCAAGTGTTTTAA